GAACCGTGAACCCTCTTTGCCTCGTATTCATCATACCTTTTGCCTTTTCCTTTTCCCATGTACCCTGGTTGATCCTTGCTTTTCACGCCATTAGCCACCACTCCTCGATAACTCCTTGCTCCATCCTCTGTTCTGGCCTCTCCCGATCCTCTATTCTCTCTTGGAACCAGAGATTTCACCTTCATGGGGTAGTTATTTATAGCATGACACAGGCTAGAACAGATATCACAGCAACCGAATAACTTATCATACTTGAGAGAGACATGAGCTTCTTGTTCCTCATAAAACTCTCCACCATTGAAAGATAAAGTAGTATCGAAACACAAAGGCTCACTACCATCAATCACCACACGAATCTTACCTAAATCCAAATCGATGTCCGTGGTCAGCCCAATCGCATCCCCTATGCTTTGGAAAGTCTTGTCTGACCAGAACTCGGTTGGAAGGCCCTCCACTTTTATCCAAAAAGGAATCTCCGAAGGATAACCGGTTGTCATCCTTGGTTTCCACCGAGCCAGCGAGAGCATGTAGTAATCAAAATGAAACGGCTGCATCGCCAAGACCGCTTCCATATCCTCTTCCTCATCAAAATGGAACTGGAATTTCCCAAGACCTAGATCAGTACCAACCACCTTATCCTCCAACTTCCAAAACTTGGGCAACATCACGATCAAAGAGTCTACTTTCTGATCTGCCGGGTTGAAACATCGGCCAAATCAAAGTTCGATCATAACTTTTGATCAAGGCAGAGTTATCAAAGTGTGGCACAGAAATTTTCAATCTCTTCCTGGTCCCCTCCCCGTTCTTCATCTCTTCCCCCTTACCCAATAACTGACTCTGAGACATGAAGGAAAAATGAAGAAAAACCAAAACCTCCAAGACTTGCGAAGTGAAAGAGAACTCAGAATGCAAAGTATAATTCGCCCCTGCACCACCTTCGCTTTTATACGCGCAGTCAAGCACTCCCTCATTACTCCACACAATAACTCCATGATACCCATAGTTGCCATAGAATCGGAGAGAATCATATATCTCCATATCACAACTTACCCAATCTTGAGCCAAATCTCCATTAAAAATCCCGTGTTTCCAAATGTCCATCCTCCCACCTTGATTCCGATCTTGATTTCGCCCAATCCCAAAAGTATCAGCCAGATTCCACCAAATCGACGCCTTTCCAAATCGTATCACCATAAAAACCAGTATCTCCAAAAACTCCAGAGGTCTAATGAAACCCCAGACAAATCGATTCACTATCTTGCGAATCTTTGTCACCAAATCCTGTATTCCAATCTTCCAAATCTCCCCGGGATCCCATCCTTGAACCTCCATGAAAACCTAATTTTTTGTCGCCATCGCCGTCGCCTAATATCATATGTCTTAAATATCTTAAGTACATACTTTGATTGAGAATAAATTGATATTTTCAATATTTTGAACATTTTTTGTTATTTTACTTCATCTTTCTTATTCATATTGATGTGAGGTGTGCAGTGTTTTTCTCAGTTTTTTAGTTCATATCATGCATTCATGTACAGAAACCTCCACGACTGCAGGTTCAACAAGTTACGAAATTTTCACTTTTTTTTAAAAAAATTCCATTTCAGCATTTTAGTTGATGTTAATCTTAATGATTTTCTTATTTATTTTTTTCAACTATTATATTATTCCGTAGGTGCACGGTGAAAATTTTAATTCAATAATACAAAAAATAAAAAATGCAGGAACTAAAACTAAGATGATTAAAAAATTAGCTTGTAAACACATTAATTTTTTTGTGCTGGAGTTAAGAAAATTAATGCGTGAACATTAATTTAAAATGATTAGGAGACCATCATGTCAACGTTCTAATTTTTAAATGATTGTGAGACTGTCACGTGTCAATTAGTCATGTGTGAATACATTTATGATAAATGTTTCTCTCTTAATATACACTAGATTTTAAGCACGAGATAAGTTTTTTTGTTAATTTTTCCAATTAAGATATTACTATAATTGGTTTTTGAATTTTAATATTTGAGTTTTGACGACTATAATTAAAAGTAATTTATATTGTTGTCTCAACATTCAAGTTTTATTTCAGGTATTTTTGGGTTATTCAGTTTTCGCGTTATTTGGGTTCGGTGTTTAGGACATGTTACTTTTTTTTTTGATCGGTTCAGTTCGAATAATGTCAGATTGGGTTCGCATATATTTTTTGAGTTATTCGAGTTGTGATGTTTATGACCAGTGTAAGAACCAGACATTTTATGTATCGGTTTAGTTTGAGTAGTGTCAAATTCGGTTTGCATTTATATATTTTTATAAAACCCGAAATGAAATTCTATTAGAAATAGTTTAAGTCATGTTTAAAACCATAAATCTCAAAAAAGAAACTTCGAAACTCCGGAAATCCAAAAATGGGAGTTTAGGAAATTAAGGGTTTTGCATTTTTTAATTTATAAGTTATATTATATATTATGATAATAAATATTTTTATTATATTTTGAGTATTTAGTTTTCAAAAATAGTAACTATTTGAGTTTTCAAGATTTTGGTGTAGTTTTGGTTTTAGTTTTTCGTTTTGATTCCAATTTGATTTTTGGATTTGGATAATATGTTCAAGACTAACTTTTTCATTAGTTTTCTTATATGTGTGTTTAACATCTATCTTATTAAATATATGCATTCTTATTTTTAACCTCAAAATACTTTTATAATATCACTTTTGTGCTATTGTGTTCTAAAGGATTTTCCCTTCATTAAATATTTTTTTTATTGTTTGTAAATTGATTCGACAAAATTATTTTTTCCAAATATCAGACTTCATCTTCCTAAACTATATTTTCATAATTTTTTATATAAAATTAAATAGTAGTTGTCAAAAAAATAATGGCACTATTGTTAATGCTTAGCAACTCAAGTAATGTCACCCATTTTGCATTGGTCAAAGTTCATTTTTACTTTATAATTGAATAAATTAAACAATTCTTCATTCCATCTCTTAATAAGATATTTTGCTTATTAGATTAAAAAAATGATAGAAACTATAGTAATAAAATATCAACTATAACTCGATCATTTATATAACAAATGATGTAAATATTATTGTCCATGCCATCTTAGTGACCTTTTCCTGTCTTTGTTTACATATATTAGATTCTTTCTTTGGTAATTTTACTTCTGGCTCCGAGAGATTTTGTTTACATTGTCGGCTTATGACTGCAGAAAGGTTTCATATTTTTGCTGACTTTGTGTAAAACTTTGTTCAAGTTATGACTAATGTACTAGATGACCAAAAAGAAATGATTTTAGTCCATTTATAATCTGTACAAATGGGTATCACTAAAATATTTTAGAATTTAGACTCATTTACACATCGATAACCAATGTTCTGTTCTGATTAGGGATGAGACAGATCGGATATTCGAGGTAGGATAGGATATCCGGATCCGTATTCGGCAGATTCGTTAAATTACTATCCGGATCCGGATCTGGGCCATCCGAATATCCGGGGTCCGGATATCCGGATCCGGTTTATTTAAAAAAAAATTTTACAAATAGAAATTAAAAATTCAGTATTTATTTATTCTATTAAAAATATTATTTTGCAAAAAGTTAAATTAAAATAATAGAATTTATTAAATACTATTATTTGCGAAGTGATTTTTCGCAGTGGAGCTCTCACGTTAAAAATTAGAGCGGTTAATATCGTTTATACCCTTAATGAATAATTAAACATAAATGAAAAACGAATTTCAATGATTTTAGATTTATCTTTATCTAAAGCTATTTTATATTGGGTTATAAAGTCTTTATTAACCTTGAAAAATAATTATATTTGTTAATATATAATTAACTATAAATTAAAAACGAATTTCATTTATTTGATAATTATCTTATTTAAATTTTTTTATATTATGTTAAAAGTCTTTATCACCCTTAAAAAATAATTATATTTGTTAATATATAATTAATTCTAAATTAAAAACGAATTTCATGAATTTGATAATTATCCTTATCAAACTTTTTTATATTGTGTTATAAAGTCTTTATTAACCTTGAAAATAATTATGTTTGTTAATATATAGTTTGTTATGAAAAATCAATTCGCAAAGAATTTATGTATTGATAATATATATTGTGTTATCCAAACTTTACTATAGATAATTTTATTATACATTTTTGTTATGTTTAAAAATGGTATTAATTTATTACTAAATATTTTAACTTTATTAGTATTTTCAAAATTAATTTATGCAATGAAAATTATTTATATGATGATGAAAAGTTTTATATATAGAAGAATTTGTTTAGTTTATTATTAAATATTTTGAGTCTATGAACAATAATTTATTATAATTTACTTGAATTGATTATATAGTTATTTATAAATATTAGTAAAATTATTAAGTCCGTAAGTGCGGACAAAACACCTATCCGGATATATAAATATTTTTTAAATATTTAGTGGGCCCAGATCCAGAATATCCAGACCAAAAATTTTACTTTCTGGATTCGGATTCGGGTTCGCCGGATCCGTGAAATCATTATCCAGATCCAGATCCGGATCCCTCGGATATTCGTTTTTTCTGAGCGGATCAGAGCGGATCTTGGATGGGATAGCGGATATGGAATAAAAGTCCTAGAGCCCTAGTTCTGACCCACCAATTTGACAGCTATACTGTGGGACAATCAGATCTGATCTAAAACGGAGCGACACCAGCATTCGGCTACGGCGTCACTTTTTAGGTTAATAAGGTGTTGGTGGCGATTATGAGAAGGACAAGGCGAAAAAGGTGAACAAATCGCCGCTTGTTTCACTGGATCCAACTAGAAAAGAGAAAGACGAAGAAAAAGAGAATAATTGTGCAGATCTAATGGTTGACCACGGAAAGGCAACTCAGGTAGAACCCAGAAACGTGACCGCGAAAGGGAGCGGTGGGAGATCACATTCTTTTTAGTGAGCGACACAGACGCATCGTCACAAACTAAATTCCACACAATCGAAGCTGTAAATCATGACGGATTGGGAAACGGCTGAACAAGTGGTCTACATAAGCTGCGTAGACGAAGAGGTACGGTATTCCTTCGTCAGCCACCTCGCCGAAGCTCTTCGTCGCATAGGACTAAATGAAGTTTTCATTGATTGCGAAAATCATTTGTCCAAGGATGCCAAGGCTGTAGTCGAGAGAGCTAGGGTTTCTGTGATGGTTTTACCTGGAAACTGCGATCCCTCCAAGGAGTACACTGACAAGCTCACGCAGGTCCTCAATTGCAATAAGGAGGACGACCAGGTGGTGGTTCCAGTGTTGTACAGCGTAGGAACGTTAGAAGGCGAATGGCGTCGTGTACTGCAGAATATGAGCGGCTTATCACAAGGTCACGAGTCTAGGTATTCACGTTATTCACATCAAGTTTCTAAATTTAGCTTTACTTACGAGAAAAGAGACAGTTGTACGAATAGCTTCCCATGGCATAGTAAACTTAGCTCAGTAACGAAAATTTTTATGCAAATTTTGTGACAACATCTCTCTAATATATGGTGCAGGAACGAAGACTCTGAACTTGTAAAAGAGATAGTTAGAGATGTATATGAGAAGCACTTTTCTGTGGAACGAGTTGGTGTCTACTCCAAACTACTGGAGATTGAAAAGATGGTTAACAAGCAACCATTGGGCACCCGTTATGTTGGAATTTGGGGTATGCCTGGCATAGGCAAAACGACACTTGCTCAAGCAGTCTTTGACCAAATGTATGGAGAATTTGATGCTTATTGTTTTATCGAAGACTACAACAAAGTTTATCATGAGAAAGGTCTTAACCGTTTGATGAATGAACAATTTTGGGAAAAAATACCTGTTCCTGGTGGTATCCCTACCAAACTGGGCTTGCGTAAGCACAAACTGAAAAAGAAGAGAGTTCTTGTTGTCCTTGATGACGTGCGCGATCCTATGCTAGCTAAGAATTTCCTCAGAATGTCTGATTGGTTTGCTCCCGAAAGCCTATTCATCATAACCTCCAGAGATAAGCAGGTGTTTCGTCACTGTTCAGTCAGTCAGATATATGAGGTACATGGCTTAGATGAGACGGAGGCTCTTCAACTCTTCTTGTTGTGCGCGTCTATGAAGGGTATGACAGAGCAGAATCTGCCAATGGAAGTGATTAAATATGCCAATGGAAATCCATTGGCTCTAAATATTTATGCCAGCGAGCTCAAGGGCAAGAAAGAACTGTCGGGAATGGAGGCTCTGAAGCAACATCCTCCGTCTGAGATTCTTGATGCATTCATTAGCAGCTATGATACCCTCAGTGACAGCGAGAAGAACATTTTTCTGGACATAGCTTGTTTCTTCCAGGGAGAAAATGTTGACTATGTGATGCAACTGCTTGATGGTTGTGGTTTCTTTCCACATGTTGGAATAGATGTTCTTGTGGACAAGTGTCTGGTGACTATTTCCGAAAACCGAGTTCAGATGCATAATTTGACACGGGATGTTGGCCGAAAACTAATAATTAGTGACGCAGTGCTAAACGAAAGGCGCAGTAGACTGTGGGATCCTTTGTGCATCAAATATATACTAGAAGATAATGAAGACGCAGAACATGAGGTCCGTTATATTTTGCTAGTTTCATATTTAGTACTTTGTGAGCGAACATCCTAATATATTCACTTCCAATTTTATTTTAGGGCACTGAAGAGATTGAAGGCATGTTTCTCGACACATCAGGCTTAAGTTTTGATGTCAAACCTGCTGCCTTTAAGAATATGTTAAACCTTAGATTGCTGAAGATTTACTGTTCCAGTCCTGAAACCCATCCTTTAATCAATATCCCGGAAGGCCTTCTCGATTCTCTTCCTGCTGACCTAAGACTCCTTCATTGGGAAAACTGTCCGCTTCAATTTCTACCTCAAACTTTTGATCCCATGCACCTTGTTGAAATCAACATGCCGTACAGCCAACTTCAAAAGCTTTGGCATGGAGCCAAGGTAAGTAAACTCTGAAATGCGCCTTTCACCTATATGAGTGCTTGACCGATTTATATAATTCTCTTGGCATCTTTTTACAGAACCTGGAGATGTTAAAGACGATCAGGCTTAGTCATTCCCAGCAACTAGTTGATATTGATGATCTCTTAGAAGCTCACAATCTTGAGGTAATCGATCTCCAGGGTTGTACAAGACTGCAGAGTTTCCCAGCCACAGGTCAATTGCTGCATCTACGAGTTGTCAATCTTTCAGGTTGCGCAGAAATCAAAAGTTTCCCGGAGGTTCCACCAAATGTTGAGATACTGCAACTGCAGGGAACCGGAATAACAGAATTACCACTTTCCATTGTTAAGTCAAACGACAGAGAGCTTGTGAATCTTCTAACAGATATTCCTGTTCTTTCAGGAGTCTCGAACCTTGAGCAAACTGACCTCGAAAGTTTAACAAGTCTGCTGAATAAGGGCTCATCTATTCAAAATCCTGGCAAGCTTATTTGCTTGGATCTGAAAGACTGTTCTCGTTTGCAATGTCTACCAAACATAGTTAGTTTAGAACTCCTCAATGTTCTTGATCTGTCTGGCTGCTCAGATCTCAAGAATATTCAGGGCTTTCCTCGGAACCTGAAAGAGTTACATCTTGCTGGCACTGCAGTCGGGGAAGTGCCACAACTTCCTCAAAGTCTAGAAGTCTTGAATGCACATGGTTGCGCCTCTCTAAAATCAATTAATTTGGACCCCGAGAAGTTTCCTATGCATTACACATTCAGTAATTGTTTTAGTCTATCTCCGCAAGTGGTCAACCTTTTCTTAGAGAAAGCGCTGGCTAACATAAAACACGTGCCAAGAGATCATCAGCAGGTGTTACTCTCACCCTCGTCCTTCCTATTTCTCTCCATCACCTCCACTCATTCTTCTCATCTGTCCCGGCTTTTGTCTCCTCTATTTACATCAATACCTTATATATGTACAGCCAGCCACATCCTTTTTATATAATATCTCACTTGTTTTTCTTTGTTGTGGCAGGAACTCAACAAAGCCTCGACTTTCAGCTTCTGTGCGCCTTCACATGACGATCATAATTCCGCACTTGATCTGCTACCAGGATCCTCTGTCATGGCACAACTAAATCCTTCATGGAGGAACACGCTTGTGGGCTTTGCTATGCTGGTGGAATTTGCATTGCCTGAGGATTTCTGTGATGCTACTGGTTTTGGCATTAGTTGTGTTTGCAGATGGAAAGACAAAGAAGGCTCCTCTCATAGGATTGAAAGAAGTATGCATTTTTGGGCTCCAGGGAAAGGTGTTCCAAAAAAGGATCATGTGTTTGTCTTCTGTGATGTCAAAATGCGTCCAAATACCGATGAAGGAAGTGACCCTGATATCTGGGCTGATTTAGTAGTGTTTGAATTTTTTCCTGTAGGCAAGCAGAAAAAGCGTTTAGATGATAGTTGCACAGTGAAAAGATGTGGAGTCTCTGCAATTCCTGCTGCAGCTGGTAATACTAGTCACAAGATGAGCTCATCAGGTTCTTTTTTCGACCCAGTGGAGTTTTCTGGTTATAAATTTAAAGAAGTATTAAGAGTTAGGTATGATGGTTTAGAGGAGATAGATAAAGCATTATTTCTTTACATAGCGGGTTTGTTCAATGACGAGGATCTTGATATGGTGGCACCTCTTATTGCCCGCATTGACTTGGATGTTAGTTTTGGGCTCAAGGTTTTAGCTAACATGTCTCTCATACATGTATCATCCAGTGGAGAAATACTGATGCATTATTTGCTACGGCAGATGGGTAAAGAAATCCTCCATGGACAATCCATGCTGCCTCGTAGCTTAAAAGAAGATTCAATCGGGGACTTTGAAAAGGCCTCTTTTGCTTTTTCTTCCTCGTGCAATTGGAAGTATGATGTTTTCCCGAGCTTCCGATGGGAAGATATCTGCAAAAACTTCCTCAACCACTTTATTTCGTCACTTGAACGCAGGTTAATCACCACATTTTATAGCACGGAGATTGAAAGAGGCAACGCAATAAGAGAGTCGAATATCTCAATTGTCGTGTTCTCGAAAAACTATGCCTCTTCATGCAATCTCCTGAATGAATTGGTGGAGATCGCAGAGAGCAAGAAAGAGTTGAATCAAATAGTGATACCACTTTTTTACGAAGTCTATCCTTTGGATGTTAAAGAACAGACAGGAGAATTTGGAAGACAATTCAAAGAAACTTGCAAGAACAAAGCAGAGGATGAGAAACAACGATGGTGCCAAGCTTTGACCGACATAGCAAACATACGTGGTGGATACACATACATCTCCGAGAACTGGTATGTAATTTTGAGTTATTATTACTTACAACCAAAAATATAGTTTTTCTTATCTTTAAAATTTGTTTTCATCAACTAAGAGGTCTAATGGAAAAAAACACACACCACATTCTCACACCTGGAAGATCCAAGCCTATGTTAAAATTATGATTGGCATAGTTAATGTAGATCATATATGTAAATGATAGATTAGTCTTTCAGTAACACCTAGTTAACCTTTGTGCACACACCTAGTTAACCTTGTTCATCACACTATATATATTGGAGCTAGGTGACTCACGTGCAAATCGACATCTTTCTCTTTCGTCACTTTTTCTTTTATCCGTCGAGAATTGAACTGTGTTGCTGACTCTCTTGCAAAGTCGGCCTTGGTTTTTAGCTCCTCTCCTATGATGTAAAGAATAAATAAATTATAGTTACTTTAGGTGTCGTTTCTACTTGTTGATAATTTTTAATATATATATATATATATATATGTATATGCGAAAATTAAAAAGGTTGTGTTTAATGAAATTATCTTGTTATGTCAATTAATGTATAAACAATTCAGATTGGTTCACGTTTTTTTGTATATTTGATTGTATTTATTTTTAATTGAATTACAATTTGTTTTTGAGCATATTAAAATCAAATTATTTTAGTTAGATTCATCTTATTAGTTTGTAAAAATATTTTATAACAATCTGTATAATTTGATATATGTTATTTATGAAGAAACATAAAATGAAAACTAAGTGTTAGTGTGATTAGAGTTGCATTAGCCAGTATAATCATTGATATTCTCAAAATCCATACACATATTCACAAAATAACTAAATTACAACAATCAATTAAGGTTTCGTTTTTCACTTGTTTTTGGAAAATTTAAATGTTAATTTAAATGTTTGAAAATATAATATATATATATATATTTTAAAAATATATTATTTTCATAATTTCACATATAATTTTGGTACAAAGTTTAGACCATTTGATTATTTATTGTTTTAAACATATTGAGTTGCGACAAATCCTATAAACTGTTTAACTATTTTTTGTTAGTTCTAGTTAGGTTAAAATGTGAATAGTTTGTTCTTTACTTTAGTTTGGTTCCTTTTCTTACATTTGTAAATATATATATAAATAATTGTATATAATTTGATATATGTTTTCAGACGAACATTAGAAAAAATATATGAAGAAATTTAAACTATTGATTCTCAATTAACTTTTTGCCACAAATAATTATTAACTTTTATTTCGCAAAATAGTAAAATATTTGTGATCGGTAAATGTTTGGTAAAGAAGAACCCAAAATTATTTAAAAATAAATAAAAATAAATAAAATGAATAATTTACTATATGTATAATTTATAATATACATATATATATATATATAAATATAAAATTTAAAACCCAAGATTTATCGATATGTTCCTTTTAAAATTTTAGAAAAATAAAAATTATTAGCTTAAATATAAATAAAACAAAACTATAAATATTGAGAATGACAATAATATAATAAATTTAATTCATGAAATATATCAATGTAATTAACTATAGTGAGCACTACACGTAGTACATTAACTACTCAGATAATATTGGAAAGATCTCTCTATCTAATAAGGCATTTGGTCTAAGCCTATAGTTAGTGCATGTGATAATAAGCCAATGATTTTTCTAGGGATAACGAGGCAGACCTGTTGGAAGCGATCTCGTATGATGTTTCAAATAAACTGAATCATAAAGGATCAGGGGATTTTGATGACATCGGAATTGAAGGCCATATATCAAAAGTGAGTTCATTGCTGTGCTTGGATTCCAAGAAAGTGAGAGTTGTTGGCATTTGGGGTTGCACTGGAATTGGTAAGACTACCATCGCAAGAGCTCTATATGGCCGTTTTGGTCATCAGTTCCAGCGTAGCATTTTTGTAAACAGATCTCTGTCAAATAAAACTTTGGAAAATTCTTGGAGAGCTAACCTGGATGGTTATGGCACGAAGTTACTTTTGCAAGAACAATTTTTATCTGAAATTTTAGGCCATAAGCACTGTAAGGTGCATCATCTGGGTATGATTAGAGACAGGCTAAAGGACCAAAAGGTTCTTATCATTCTGGATGACGTTGACGATATAGTGCAACTAGAAGCATTGGCAGGAAATAATAGATGGTTTGGTTCGGGGAGCAGAATTATTGTGATTTCAAAAGATGAACAGCTTTTGAAGTCTCATGGAATTGGCATTATTTATGGGGTAGATCTTCCATCTAAAGAACAAGCTCTTCAGATGTTCTGCCGAGCTGCTTTCGAACAAAACTCTCCACCCAATGGCTTCATGGAACTCGCACGTGAAGCTGTAAAGTATTCCGGTAACCTTCCTTTGGATCTAGTAACGTTTGGTTCATATATGCGTGGGAGAGAAGAAGATTATTGGACGGAGATCTTGGAACGGCTCAGATATAGTCTGGCGGGAAAAATCGGGGAGAGGTTAATAGTCAGGCGTGAGAGTCTATCTGCACATGGAAATACTTTACCTCGTCCCTCACCCCTTCCCGTAGCGTCAGATAATTCTCAACAGTGGAAATACCATGTCTACCCGAGCTTCTACGGAAACGATGTCGGCAGGAAATTCCTCAGCCACTTCCTCGTAGCATTCAAGCATAAATCAATCATCACATTCAAAGACAATGAGATGGAGAGGGGCATGCGTATACAAGAGATAAGAGATTCGATGATTTCGATTGTTGTGTTCTCCATAAACTACGCCTCTTCGAGCTTGCTCCTGAACGAGTTAGTGGAGATCGCAAAGTGCCGGCAAGAGTTGAGTCAAAAAGTGATACCAGTTTTCTATGACATTGATCCTTCGGATGTTCAAAACCAGAGTGGAGAATTTGGAAGGTGCTTCAAACAGACTTGTGAGAGCGAAACAGAGGATGAAAAGCAATGGCACCAAGCTTTGATTGACATAGCGAACATTTCCGGATACTATTCTCGGAGATGGTACGTTTCCTTGGGCTATTATTATTTGCATGTCTTGGATATGAAACATATGTATTGCCTGAACTGTGAGTAGCAAAAAAATAACACACAACCATATATCTTTTCCCCATCTGGCTTTAGAAATACTACGCTGAAATTAAAGCTTGCTACTACTATACTATATTTGTCTAGAAAGGCTTGCATTTTCTTAAGATAATTCACCAATTATGTTTAAGGATGATATTTCTCCTTGTAGGGAAAATGAAGCAGAGATGGTTGAGAAAATCGTCAATGATATTTCAAATACACTGGGCTGTACACCATCAATTGGTGTACATGTTTTGGTTGGAATGAAGTCGCATATTGCAAAAATGGATTCTTTACTTTGCTTGGAATCCGAGGAAGTGAAGATGGTCGGAATTTGGGGTCCCTCGGGAATTGGTAAGAGTACCATTGCAAGAGCCCTATATCTTCAAATATCTTCGGAATTCGAACAGAGTGCTTTCATAGACATATCAAATGGTTATAAGAAGAGAGCCAACATGGATGATTATGGTGCGATGTTGTATTTTCAAACACTATTCCTATCCGAAGTTTTAAACCTAAAGGATTTAAGGGCAGATCATATAGGCGCCATAAAAGAAATGCTAAAGGATCAAAAAGTTCTTATCATTCTGGATGGTGTGGATGATCTGTTCTTACTTGATGCACTGGCAAGAGAAACTGAATGGTATGGTTCAGGGAGCAGAATTATTGTGATTACAAAAGACTTGCGTCTTCTGAAGTCTCGTGGGATTAATTGTATTTACAAGGTGGGATTACCATCTAAAAGGCAAGCTCTGCAGATGCTATGCCAATCTGCTTTCAGGCAAAACTCTCCACTTTATGGTTTCATGGAACTCGCAATTGAAGTTGTGGAGAGTGCAGGTAATCTTCCATTGGGTCTCAAAATTTTTGGTTCTCATTTGCGAGGGTTGGACAAAGGGCAGTGGATTCAAATGTTGCCTCGCCTCAGACATAGTTTGGATGGAGAAATTGAGAAAGTACTGAGAGTCGGGTATGACGGGTTATGTGATGAAGATAAAGACCTATTTCTTCACATCGCATGTTTATTTAATCATGGGGCTGTTGAATATGTCACACGGTTGCTTACAGGCTATTACATGGATGTTAATTGTGGGCTTACTGTCTTAGCTGAGAAATCTCTCATACATATATCAGAGGTTGGAAATACTAGCATGCATCTTTTGCTTCAAAGCCTGGGCAGAGAAATCGTTCGTAGAGAGTCCATTCCTGAGCCTGGAGAACGTCGATTCTTGGTGGACTCTCGGGATATTTGTGAAGTATTTAACGAGGAAAGTGTAAGTTGAAACAAGCATGGCATTGGGTTACTGATTAAATGTTAGTCTTCGTTAAAATGACCTATATCTATCTGCAATTTTTCAGGGTACCAAAAGAGTTTTAGGGATATCGTTAGACATATCAGAACTCGATCGTGAGCTTTCTATAAGCAAGAGAGGGTTCAGCGGAATGAGAAATCTCCGGTTCTTGAAACTCTACACAAACTTGGGGAATAAAGAAGCCAAGAAAGAAGTCAATGTGCACTTACCTCATGGCCTTGATTATCTGTGCCCTAAACTCAGATTATTGCACTGGGAGACATTCCCAATGCGATGCATGCCTTCAAACTTCTCTCCAGAAAATCTGGTTGAACTCGTAATGGAGGCTAGCAAGCTTGAGAAGCTGTGGAGTAAAGCTCAGGTACGTGTTGAGTTTGAAACTTTGAATGTTACCACCAAAAATTGAAAGTGTTGTTTATGCATCATATTTTCATCTAGTTTGTCCTTTCCTTGTTGATTTTATTGATTAGATTTGGAAATGAATCTTATTATTGCCAAGTTTCTGATATCTGCTCGTCTTTGCCATTCTTTTTTGTTCAGCCGCTTGGCAGTCTCAAGTTTATGAGTCTACGGGATTCCTTAGACCTGAGAGAAATACCAGATCTAACATATGCCACCAAACTCGAGAAATTGGACCTTGCAGG